CAAACCGGATTCAACGGCTGTGAAATTGCTAACGACGGAGAATGTAAGTCACGTGACTGTAGAACATATTATTCCTAACCGCATTTTCTCTTGTGTATGCATGTCCAAAGCCGTATTCGATCTCAGTCACTCCAAGCTCCACAACTGGCCGCTATTTACTTTTAACAGACTCCAGTAAAACTTGAATTAAATGAGAGTAGTGGAGAATTTGATTCATTTTAAAAGAAGGAATTCGTCGTATATATATATATATATATAGCAAATGAAGCGTGAACTGAAGAGCGCGGAAGCACTGAACAGCTGTTTCGACGTGATATGGTCTCATCAGCAGTGCAAATCCATCGACTGAACTGGGGATCGAACCCGAAACATAGACAGAACACAAGTATGCTACACACTCGACCACCGGGCAGTTGATCAGGCCGATTTTCATTTCGAATATACGTGATATAGCACAAACCATCTTTCAAAGCTTGTTGCGGGCCACAGACCTCACTCATCTCAGCACTAGCCTCCGGGGTTATGATTCGGTTGGAAACTTTCACAACGTGAAAAATATTAGGGCGCGATACCCACAACAAGCTCGCAAAGATGGGTTATGCTATATCTGGTAAATGGAAAATGAAAAATGGTTTAATTAAGTTGATAGGCTTGCACTGCATGGATGAGATCCAACCAGGTGGAAACAGCTGTCCAGTGCTTCCTAGATTTTCAGTTAACGCTTCCTTTTTCTATATACACGACGATTTCCCCCTTTGATGACTCAAATTGTTTCTTTCTGGTGCCTGTAAACACTCCCAGTTATGACAATCCCCTTATATGGTGAATGTTTCGGTTAGTCCACTCGGTTTTCTCACAGGTATCAGGCCCTGTTGATGATGACATTCCCCTGTTGCAGGATAAATGAATCATTTGAACATACAATGTGCAACTCTGCATACCCAATTTTCATAGGACTGAATATAAAGGGTCCTCTGACGGTTGTGTCAATCGAGAGCCCGCATAAATATATTGTGTCAATGTGTGAATAAGAGTCGATATCTATATATGGAAGATAGACGATGAGTCACTGAGTGAGGTGCGGGGGCGGGGTAAACAAGCGAGGAATGATGACACAGATGGAAGGATGAACCATAAGAGTAAGCACAGGAGTAAGTTCATCGAGCTTAACAGGCAACCAGTGATGAGCAATTGTTTTAGTGTGGTTTTGTAAACATTCTTCCACATCTTTTACACGTCCCCGGAGACACCTAAGCTCGTATGACTTATACGGAAGAATACCGCGTGCCACATAGCACAGCCCCACC